CTCATTACGCAGACCACTCGTAAACATTCCAGAAGATAAAAACCCTTTCCGAAAGGATAGCCCAAGATAGCCTGTAACTAGTGCTCAGTGGCTTGTGTAGGCAAAACCTGCTCTGATTAGTAGGGACAGAAGATACATGAACACCCTGATATTTGGTGGAGGCTTGATTGATATTTGAAGGAGACAGGATTAGAATAGACATGAGAACAGAAGGTGTACTTCTAACTTGAAATGAACATGATGACTTGTGTTTTCTAGCAAAGTGTTCTAATACAGACCAGCAGGGAGGAGTAGTTGTGTTTGAGTTATAAATGTACACTTAAAGATTTTGGCATTATTGGGAAACTGGTTTTGGAGTAGAGACCTGATATCCTCAATATTACATAGAAATATCTGTTCTTTACCCATCATTCTACTCTTCATTTACTCAAATATTTTTAGTTACCTCCTTTATGCAAATCAGTGATATAGGAAAAATAATTGGCTCTAAAACACAGAAGATGGACTGAGGCAGGTATGAAGTAGTGCGCCAGCAAAGCCTAATGCAGTGACCCAGGCGTGTGGCGCTATTTCTGGTATTGATGTTTTTTGAGCACTTCTATGCCAATGTTAAATATTCCCATGTGTTTTGTGTTGTCCTCATGATCATAGACAGTACTGATTTTGTTTGGTTGGGTTTTTTTTTTTTTCAGTGCTACACAAGTGCTCAACCACTGAGCTATAGCCCCAATCCTGAGGTAGACTTTTTTTTTAAACTACTTTAGTTAATATATGAGTAAGCTAAGGTTGAGATACAAGGTTGCATCAAGAGTCAATCAAGAAATAATAGTATAAATACCATTTGCATATAAATCAAAGTTTGTAAATGTTTTACATGCCCTCCTTTTTACTTTAATCCTCTCCATGTGTGATAGGCCTAATATTATTATTCCTGATTTACAGATAAACACAAAATTGAGAGACTTACCTGAGTAGTCATTTACCAAATAGTAATGGCAGTGGGGACAGAGCAGTAAACAAGTATTAAAGTGTGAGATCCAAGAACTCCACTAATACTACACAAAGAACACATGGACAAAGCAAAAGTAACTTGGCAAGGCAGCTCTTGCTTTTGCAAAAATCTACATTATGCCATTCAGATCTAGCAAGTATACTCGACCCAGAAGTTTGATAGATTTTTTAACCCCTTAATGCAAGAGTACTGTGCCTTTTCCCCACTGGCTGGGTTCTGACCTCACAGTCTTTCGTGTTTGACTAGTTTTTTTTTTTTTTTTAAGAACAAAAATTGATGCAAAGGAAATGAAGGCAGAGGGGGAGAGGAGTTGGACAAAAGGAAGAGGTTCAGCCTCTCCAGGAATACAGCAGGGCTTTTGCATAAGCAAAAGTTTTACAGGGTATGTGGGGGGCTTGAAAGATTTGAATTTTTTGTCTAAGCCAGAGTTTTACAGTGTTTGACAGAAAAGACTGATATGAAAATTTAATGTTTCTTACAAGGTAGCTTGAGGTCCTTGCTCTTGGAGTTGTTTTCTGCTGGCTGAGTAACAATCAGAAATGTATTTTCTGGAGCTGACAAGTACTATATGGTAGATAATAAGGTAAAGCAATAGAAAGAGGCTGGAGATACCTGCAGAAAGTCAGTATAGCTGTGGTGGAGAGAGAAGGCTCTAAGAGAAAGGAATCAGGGTTGAGACCCACATAAGAAGACATTTAACAATCTGCAGGGAAAACATTCTAAATAAGTGCAGCCACTGCAAAAGTCCTATGATGGGAACACAGCTGGCATGTTTAAGGGACAGAGAGAACCCAGTGTGTCTGGATCATGGTGAAAGAGGAAGAATGAGAAAGAGGTAGGCAGGAACTAGAGCAGGAAGAACTTTAAAGCTGTGGAAAGCAGTTTGGTGCTTGCCTTGTGGGTAGCAGGAAACCTTGGAAAATTTATGAGGTATGTATGTAGGGATGCTTGATGTCCCCCCACCTCCAATGTTATCATTTCAGGCTTCTAATTTCAACAGATGAATTTGAAAGGTAAGGGAAACAGATGTTCAGACTATAGTATTAAGGAAGGCGGTAATTTTTTTTTAAAGATGTTTGGAACACTTTGGGGGAAGAACTAGCCATTTAAGTCAGATAATGTCTTAAAATGGTAGAAGCTCCAGTAGGGTCCAGGGTGACACAAATTTTAACAGCATACCTCAACAAAAGGGAGCTGTTGTCCTGTGGTAGGTGTGCAAATAACTGAGTACAGTTGCAGCACTGCTGCCATTTTGGTGAGTGTTCTCTATGTCAAATATTATACAGAGTGCTTTGGTCTCTCCCCAAATCCTCAGCAGCTCTCTGCAGAAGATTCAAATCCTCTGCAGAAGTGAAACTTAGAAACCACTTAAATGTCTATCAAAGTAAACATTCCTTAAATAAAGTATGATCTATCCATATATGTAATACCCTGCAGACAGTATTTCCTAGTGAGGTAAGTAATAAAATTGCCATATTGCCATAATAAAATGCCAATAAAAGATTTTTGTTACAATAAACACATGTCAAAACTTACCTGCTATTCATTGCTCCCAGTGGAGTCTGCGTTCCTCAAAGAACAACGAAGTTGTATTCATGTTGATATGGTCTTGGTCAAGTGAATAAGTGAATGAATGCATGTAAAATGGAGACCACACAAGGGTCAGGGGAGGAGAAAGGAGTGGGTGGGAAGAAGGAAAAAAGAGAGAAACTCTTGGACCTAAAAGCTGAAAGTATTACATTATTAGAGAACATATCATTTAGAAAAGATGGTACTGATTATCATACTCTCTCTGATAAGGAAGTTATCAGAGGCAATTTGTAAGCTTTAGACAACAGCATTTATTTGAAGAAAATGATAAAAACTGTGAAAAAATGGTTCTGACTTTGGCATGAAAGGGATGGAGTTGCGTTGAATGCTTTCTGGTTGGTGAGTGGACTGAGTGGTAGTTAGGTGGAATTGAAGACTCCAACTCCTTCTGTGGTTGGTGAGTGGACTGAGTGGTCGTTAGGTGGAATTGAAGACTCCAACTCCTTCTGTGGTTGGTGAGTGGACTGAGTGGTCGTTAGGTGGAATTGAAGACTCCAACTCCTTCTGTGGTTGGTGAGTGGACTGAGTGGTCGTTAGGTGGAATTGAAGACTCCAACTCCTTCTGTGGTTGGTGAGTGGACTGAGTGGTCGTTAGGTGGAATTGAAGACTCCAACTCCTTCTGTGGTTGGTGAGTGGACTGAGTGGTCGTTAGGTAGAATTGAAGACTTCAGCTCTTTCTGTGGTTGGTGAGTGGACTGAGTGGTAGTTAGGTGGAATTGAAGACTCCAACTCCTTCTGTGGTTGGTGAGTGGACTGAGTGGTAGTTAGGTGGAATTGAAGACTCCAGCTCTTTCTGTGATTGGTGAGTGGACTGAGTGGTCGTTAGGTGGAATTGACTCCAGCTCTTTCTGTGATTGGTGAGTGGACTGAGTGGTAGTTAGGTGGAATTGGAGACTCCAACTCTTTTGGTAGATGATTTGTGAATCAGAACTTTCTGATATGCTGGGGTTTTATATTGTTTATGATTTCTGCAGTCATCTAATGAACCCTAACCAAGTGCTCACTGTGATACCATGTCAAAGCTTAACTGCTACCCATTTAGCTGAGTGCTCTGTTTTACTGCTGGAAACGTTGTTATCCCAGACAGGCCTCTGAGTCACAAAGAAGATGCCAGTTGTCCAGTTAGGTTCTGTGACTGCTTCATTGTTGAAATGGCATCTTTATTTGAATATATGTTTTGGCTTCCTGTTTACTTAAGACTCCCATGATTGTCTTTGTCCTAGGGGTTTGTGGATAATGGCTCAGTCTATGATTGAACCTCCTTTTAGCAAAGTAGTTACTTGGTCTCATCAGCTTAATTATTTTATTTGTTAATCTTGATGATATGCTGAATAATTTTTCTCATTGTTTTGAGAAGCATTTAATTTTAAGGTGTTTATCAAGTAACAGAATTTGTAACATTGTAATATGTGTTTGCTTTTGCTAGTTAAGTCAGATTTTCTCTTCTTTAATTGCATGATAGTCTACCTGTAGTGTGATTTTCAAGATGGTTATGGGATCTTGCCCTTTGATTTTATTATATTTACTACTAATACATGCATTCTCATGTTTCTTGCCTGCCATCCTACTACTGCAGCAAGAAAGTGACTGACGGTTAATCATATTTTACAGCATACTCTTCAGAATGCTGATTCACTGCTGTAAAGTAGTTATATTTTATCAGTATTTTCAGAGCTCCCTAATACTACAATTTACTAGTGTTTGTCAGTCTTCCCTGTTAGTTATATACAGGCTTGAAATTGGATTCATTTTAGCAATGTGATATATGTTATAGTGACTGTTTGCACAAAACAAGACTAGCAAATACCCAACACTATCTGTCTTTGATTAGAACTTTTAAGCCCAACGGCTTGATTTAGTGAATGGAATGTTAATTATATTGTAAACTGGGCAGCCCATTTTCTATCATAAGAACTGTATAGTAGAATAAACCTATTTTGATATATGAGGTGTCGAAAGAAAATTGACTAATAGTAAAGGGAATAACCTTATATATGGTTAAGATGTCAAATGAAAAGTTTTAACTCACAATCATTGTTACGGGAAAATGCATAGAGTGGACTTTTGTTTTTAGTTCCTCTTCTTCTCTTCAAAGTTAAATGATGGAAAATTTCTCTGGGTTCCAAACTCCTCTTATGCATCATTCAACAAAGCCCTGACAATCTAGCCTCTCTGGTAGCGATGAGATTTATGGCTTTCCATTCCTTGATGTTCCATTATTCTGTCTCCACCATCAAATTGATTAGTAGGTAGTGATGAGCAAAAAAAATCAGACCCAGCCAGTGTCCATCACTTTAATGAACTGCTTAGAGGTAGTTAATACTGTCCTTGATTCGCATGACAACTGGGTAACCAAATCTTTTTCAATGTTTTTCCCTTTCTCTTATCTGCTTACAGGGCCCACTGGAAAATGATTTGGTAGTTCATGTAGCACTTGTAGCAGAAAGCCAACGGTATGAGATGTAGATGTGTGTTGTACTCTTTTATGGGAAGGGGAGGGAATGATTGCTTTATGTTAATCATTTGAGGACAAGAGTAGGGATATAATTTCATAAACCGTGACAGGATTTCAAGGATATCATTAGTTTGACCTTAAGAGCCAGAAAATTCACCGTTCATGTTTAAATTTTGTTTCAGCTGAAGTGAATATTCAAAACTGTAACAAGTTTTGAGAAATTAGTGTACATACATGACAGATTCCCCAAATCAGTGCCTGCTTCTCTGATCATCCCCTAAAGCTCCCATCTGATACTTTAGGGAGAACCCATCAATACCTCTGGGTTCCAGTGTAGATGGCATATTGCTCATGTTAACAAATTTAAAATATGCTCCACTTTAGCATAGTCTGTTCCCTTTTATCTCCTTCATTCACCACTTCCTGAACTGAAAATGCATTGTCTAAAAATAGCTTTCTCTCCCTCTCTTCCCACTCCCTCTCTCTATTTAGCCTTCAAGTTTTTCTCAACACATATGGTATTCAAACTCAAACTCCTCAGCAGGTGGAACCTATTCAGATCTGGCCTCAGCAGGAGCTTGTAAAAGTAAGTAGTCCCAGCCTTTACTTTCTCCTTTACAGAAGTAACAGAGCATGGTGGTTTGACTTAGTTCACAGGCAAGATGCTTAAACTCAATCCTAAATCACTAATCACTAAATCACTAATCACTAAATCACTAATCCTAAAGTTGATCCTTGGGAAGTCTACTTTATCGAATATTAACTTAAAAAAACACAAAATGAACAAAATCCTAAATTGTGTGGGTTTGTACATTATATTCATGGATCTTGTTGATTTCTATTATTAAAGTCTGTTACTAGCCTATACTGAGCGCTTCCAATAAATTAGTCTTAATTGTAGTTGTCATGTGTACAATTATCCTTTGTAGTTTTGATTTTCTCTTTTATTTCCTTAAAACTTCTGTTCTAATTTTTTTTAGAATTACCACTTCCCTTTTTCCTCCTGCTTTACTTTTTAGAGTATGAAGTCATTCTTACTGCTTTGGTTTGTTGAGTCTCAAATAGTAATCTCTGACTTTATCTTTGATGTAGTTACATGCCTATTTGGGATGAGATTAAAGGGTGACTGAGGGGGCTGGAGAGATGGCTCAGCAGTTAAGAGCACTGGCTGCTCTTGCAGAAGTCCCAGGTTTGAAGCCCAGCATCCACATGGTAGACAACAACTGTCCATAACCCCAGTTCCAGGGGATCTGACGCCCTCTTCTGTCTTCCACGGGCACTGTGTGACATGTTTGTACTTACGCACATGCAGGCAATACTCTTCTACACATAAGATAAAAATAAATAAAACAAAAAAAGGTGATAGAACTTTTGCATGCACTGCTCTTCAGATGGGTCCAGAGGTACCTTTGATTATGGCAATTCTTGCTCATCTCATTAGAGACAGGAAATTGTCAATCCCACTAGGTACTTATAACTATCATTTTATTTGTAAATTGATTTTTAAAATCCAGGAACAAGCTACCCACTGCTTCACAGAAGTATTTATAGTAATGTCTCTCAGGTGATCAAGGTTAAGTTGCTAAAAATGGCTGTGGTCATAGTTTTGGATGCTAATTAAGGCTTAGAGAAGTGGGGGTGCACCTGATGCAAGGAAACACAGGAGCCAATAGTTCCTGGTCATCAGGCTGGACTTGCCGATAGACAGCACAAATGAAAATCAGTGTGGGTCACCACGAGCACCAGCTCTTACAGGGTCTTTATACTTCTCTCAAATGCAGAGACCTCTGTGCTGGTGAGATGGCTCAGAGGATAAAAACACTTGCCACCAAACCCTGATTTAGATCTCTGGAACCCATGTAGTGAGAAAACTGACTCCTACAGGCTGTCTTCTGACCTTCACACACGTGCCCTAGCACTTGTGCACCCACACGATCCATCAGTCAGTCAATCAAGTTTAAATATTTAAAAAGTGTAGAAGCCTTCTCTTCCCACCTACTTGCCACAGCAGAAAGATAATGTTGAAAGTGCACGGATCCTTGAAAATCACACCAAGTGGAAATGGTGGAGGATTTTTTTTTTTTTCTGGTCTTTTTGAGACAGAGTTTCCCTGTAGCCCCAGCTGTCCTGGAATTCACTATGTAGACCAGGCTGGCCTTGAACTCACAGATCCGCCTGCCTCTGCCTCCCGAGTGCAAGGATTAAAGGCATGCACCACCGAGGATTAATTTTTATGATAGAAGAAAATAAAAGATGGTAAATGGCATCAAGAAGGACCTGAGGCGCTGCAAGGAGAAGAGCAACACAATGGGAGAGGGCTGTCAAAATCTATAGCTTAGTGTAGTGCATTTATTCATGTGTGGGCTTTATCTTCACTCAAAGTGCTAGAGAAAGAAAGGTTAGTCTTTGATAAGCATGTCCTTATAGCAAACGGCCCCAAATCTGTCTTTTCAAGTCTAATTAATATAAGCACATTTTAATGGTAGGTGGATAATACTCTACCATGCATTTCAGATATAAAAAGGCCAATCAACATAGCCAGAAAATTACTTGGATGTGACTTTTTATTCATTCATTAGCAAGCACCTGTCATATGCAAAGCACTGTAGGACACTAAGATGACCTCTGAGTCTAGTGTATATGATAGAAAATATAGTTCATTATAGTCCACTTTGATAGGAATTATGATATTTGCACAAAAGGCTGTGGAATCACAGAGGCAACAGAAAAGCATTCTCTTTCACAGTAATTGAAACATCTCCTGACTTATTTTTTATTGTTTTAAAGATGGGCTTAGCAAATGACTTATAATTTGGTTGTGGGCTATTGCTAAAAAAGACAAATCTGTGACCAAGAACCCAGCTTCCCTATGCATATGTTAAGACAACAATATTCTTTGCGGCTACAGCCTGTCTTCCAAACTAGCTGCTCTCTGGGATTCCCCCTTTAAGATATATTTGCATACTGCTCATTATAGGCCTGCCTTTTGAAAGCAAGAAGTGCACTCTCAGATCTTAGTTTGATGCACATATTCTTATGCCAATCACCGATTCTTTTCTTCTAAGAAACTGCACCCTATTTCAATTGCTGAGGATGTAAAGACTGACAGCTTGGAGGAGGGCTTTTATGGTGTGTAGTTAATGCTCGTTAATATGGTGACTGGTGAGATTGCTTCATGGCGGTCTGAATACAGTGTAGACCTGGTATTCAGTATGTCTGTGGTGGGTGGTCAATCCTGTGTATTTCAGTACATTAGTTACATGTGTGGATACAAAGTGGGGCCAGCATTGCCTGTGTCCCCGAGCATTCTAGATTTTAACTGTTGAACTGTCACAGACCTGCTGTATCATGTTAATGGGAAGCCCTTTCTATAATAGAGAGTAGTAGTCCTGCCTACATAGGCAGATTTTAACTTCTGTATGATTAAATTTTACTACTTGTCCAAAGGAAATCTAAAATAATTTAGACATATAGGTATTTCTATTTTTTTAATTTATTTATTTAATAACCACTTGATTAGAAGAAGCATTTCATTACAGCTTTAATGTATTCAATAACAATTTCCAGAGCAAAGATACATCTCTTTCAAAAGTGGCTGTAGATTTTTAGGTTTACAGTTGAATTTTAATACAGTTATACAATATTGAACTCAGTATAAACCCTGTAAGACATAAAATTGAATGAGTTCTTAACCTTTAAAAAAGATCTCCATTTCATTTTTAAGTGTTTCCTACAGAAAGACTCAGTTTTTGCTACTAATGCTTAGATGTTGGCACATGTGTCTCTAATCTCTGTGTATCTGATTATTACTAGTCACAGTCACTTACACTCAGATCTTTGGCACCTGAGTATGGATATAAAGTCATCAAGTAGATTTCAATGGTAATGTTTTATTATCTCTACTAATTAACATGAAGTAAATTTTTATGCTTCCTCCTCAAATATAACTTTTTATGTTGATGTTTTTGTGTGCATATTATACAGAATATCCCAAGCAGTCTTATTCATTTATATACCCATTTCCCAAATGGCACCCTCCCACAGCCTCCTCCCCTCGCCACTGGAGCCCATATACTCTGCCATCCCTGTTACTGTCCACTGTAATGTCAGCACCCCAGCCGTTCCCCACTACTTGTCCATCCGCTGAATCTAATCAGCCTGTCTAGAAATCTTTGTTTTAGGAAGGTCAGCTGTTCCTCACTGAGCAGCAATCAGTTGTCAATATTCCTTTAGATAAGATTGGGGTCTGCTCTTCATCTTCCCAGTTCTATGCTGGGTTACTGTCTGGGAGTCTCTTGGGCCACCCTGGCCAACAACTCAAAGGAAGGTATCTCCTATCTGGCATTGTTGCATGTTATATAGCCTTAGCTAAGCATATGGACACTTAAAAAATAATATTGGCCCTTTTAATCTTTGGTTGTACTTGATTTGGGGGTTTTTAAGGCCATACAGTTGGCCCAGATAAACCAATTTATTTTTACACTTAAGATGGTTTGAGGATCTGTTCGTCAGAAGTCACATGGGCTTAGGAGGAGTGCCTGGCTCCATTCTTTTTCCAGTTCCTCCTATGTGAAGATAAATCAAAGGTCCAGTTTGACCATGGTTGGCTTTGCTTGGAAGCATGGAGGAAATGATTCTTCTGTGTAGACCCTCCTCGTTGTAGACTGGACACTGGTTCAGGTCCAAATGTGGGGTCTCATTGGCCTCCTTGATCAAGAGGACAGATGACCCAGCACAAATACATGACATTATGAGAGATGCTTATAGTCCCCTGGAACTAGTCAACCCAGGAGGTCCCCTGGAACTTAGTCAACCTAGGAGGGAAAGGAGTGAAAACTGTCCTTTAAGTCCCTCTGACCAAATTAGTATAGGCCGCAAAGTATGGCTGTTCAACATCCAAGAAGGTTAGTTCCACCAGTCTGGTATTTTTAATTACCATGTACCATGTAGATAAATCTCGGGCAAAGACAAAAGTTTCTCAGATAAACCTTGCCTAAACATATATTCCTTGATCTAGTATGTATAATTTGTCAGTAGGTTGTTGCACTAATATGGTTTCCTCTGGTTTTTAAAACTCGCTAGGCATTATTTATCTCTCACATTGTCTAACCCTTCCACTATGGTTTCTCCATTTAAGGTGCCTCCCATTTTTCCAGTTTCTCCCTTAATAATACCCTTCTCCTATAGTCTCACCTCTCTTGAGCTCCTTCTTTGCCTTTATCCCCTAGGTTCTTTGTATAACCTTCCCTCCCCCCCTCTTAAAATGCCCAGTTTTTATCTATATATCCCTTATTAACGCCTGTTTCCTACTGTTCTTCTCTTTCAGATTCTTTCTTTTCCTTTACCTCCCTGGTACCTCTTCATTATCCTGGTTTCTGTAGTTATGTCTGGATACATATTCGTTTAATCAGAATTTGGTGCTAGGATCCACATATGAGGGAGAACATGTGTCAATTTTTTTTTTCTGAGTCTTTGTTACTTCACTTAGTATAACAGTTTCTAATTCCATCCATTTACCTGCAAATTTCATGATTTCATCTTTCTTTACTGCTAAGTAAAACTCCATCGTATATATGAAACACATTTTCATTATCAACTGATCGCTTGAAGGACACCTAGGTTGCTTCCATCTCTTAGCTATTGTGAAAAGAGCAGCAACAAACATGGATGTCCAAGTGTTTCTGCAATAGGATGAGTTCTTTGAGTATATGCCAATGAGTGGTATAACTGGTTCAAATGGTAGGTTCATTTATAGTTTTTTAAGAGTTCTCCACACTGCTTTCCATAGGGGTTGAACCAGTTTGCAGCCCCACCAGCAGTGGATGAGTGTTCCCCTTTCCCCACATCCCCTCCAACATTTGGTATCATTTGTTCTCTTGATCTTAGCCAGTCTGACTGGGGTAAGATGAAATCTTACAGTACTTTTAATTTGCATTTCTCTAATTACTAGTGATGTTGAACATCGTTTAAGATGCTTCTTAGCCTTCTTTATTTCTTCTTTTGAGAACTCTCTGTTCATCTCCTTGGCCCACCTTTTTTTTTTAACTTTTACAAAAACTTTATTGAGAATTTCATACATGCATTTAAGGTGTTTTGATCAAATCCATGCCCACTCCTTTCCTTCCAACACCTCCCATATCTCGCCATCACTTTTTTCTTTTTCTTTTTTTTTCTTCTTTCATTTATTTATTTTTATGGGGCTTTTGGGTACTCTAACATTCCCCGCTCTGAAGAGGTAACCATAAAATCTTTTAAGGATTCGGTACAAGTTCCCAAATGCTTTTGGCATTTTTGGCCTTTGGAACAGAGTATGTTGCTAACAGTCCCGAGGACATTTTGACTTTTAGCCAAGAAACTGGCTGCTTTTCTTTTAGGCCTTTTTACCCTAACTGCCCAGCCAATTCCTCCCTCCCATTCTTGTCACACCGTCCTCTGAAGAGGTTACCCAAATTGCCAATAGGGAATAGGGATGCAGACTGCTCTGGCTTCTTCCATGCTGAACAGGAATCCAGGGTGAGGCAACTGTAGTACTCCTTCAGTGGGTCTATCGAAAAGACTCCAAATTGCATAACTCTTATCTATAAGGGGAAAAGAAAGTCCTTGAATTGTGAATAGGAGATGTGAAGGAGAAGTAAAGGCAAGAGTAATTAGCATTACATGTTCTAGACAGGGAACTAGAAAAAAGTCAGAACAGGGCAATTTTCAAATGTTCATATGAGAGTCCATTGGAATTTCTTGACAAGGACTTCCAAAAGCATCCCTCTATTGGGTTCTTCCTCATTTTTCTTCTGTCTTCCAAGGCTGGACTCGAGAGTGATGGATTCAGGATTTGCTTTCAGGTATTTTAATAGCTGCTGGAGTGGTTAGAATCAGTGTCAGTTCCCTCTCAAAGTTATCCCATCTTTTAATTGGGTTACTTCTTGTCTTCATTCTTTTTTTGAGTTTGTTATATATTCTGCATGTTAAACCTCTGTCAGATGTGTTGCTGGTGAAGATTTTCTCCCATTCTGTGGATCTTCTCTTCACTTCCCTGGTTGCCTCCTTTGATGTACAGAAACTTCTTAGTTTAATGAGGTCCCATTTGTTGATTTTTGACCTTGTTTCCTGAACAATTGATGTCCGGTTTAGAAAATCCTTTCCTACACCTATATCTTGTAGGTTTTTGCCAATGTTTTCTTCTAACAGTTTCAGAGTTTCAGGCTTCACATTGAGGTCTTTGATCCATTTGGAATTGACCTTTGTGCAAGGTGAAAGATAGGGGTTTAGTTTCATTCTTCTACAGGTAGAGATCCAGTTTTGCCAGCACCATTTGCTGAACATGCTGTTTTTCCTCCAGTGAATGTTCTTGGCCCTTTTGTCAAATATCTGGTGACTCAAATTGCACATACTTGTATTTGGGTCTTCAATTTTGTTCTGTTGATCTATGGGTCTGTTTTTTTACCAGTACCATGTTGTTTTATGACTATAACTTTGTAATACAGCTTAAAATCTGGTATAATAATCCCCCCAGCATTGCTCTTAGTGCTCAGGGTTGCTTTGGCTATCCAAGGTCTTTTGTGGGTCCATATGAATCTTAGGATGGTCTTTTCCAATTTTGTGAAAAATGTCCCGGGGATTTTTATTGGCATTGCATTGAATCTATAAATGACTTTTGGTAGGGTGGTCATTTTCACAATATTAATTTTTCCAATCCATAAGCATGGGAGGTCCTTCCATCTTCTGATGTTTTCCTCCATCTCTTTCTAAAAACTTGAAAGTATTTGTGGGGGAAAAGTGTTTCATCTAGTGTCATGTGCTGCAGTTTCAGTACAGCTAATGCAAGGTAATGCTTACGAGTATTGTTCTTCTGACCAGCTGACAATGTCTAAAGTGATTGCTCTTCCAGAATCAGTATTCATGCCACATGCTACTCAGAAGGACATTGTTTGCTCCCTCATTTCTCCATTGTTACCAGCCCTGTGCCGGGCATAGTGCCAGTCAGGGAATATGCCTCCTCAAGATTGTACAATTCAGGAAAAATCAACATAAGAGCTAACTCTGACACAATAGGATAAACAGAGATCTCTTGTACAACATTAATTTTGTATGTAATGAAGTTGTTATTTAGAAACAGTTAAATGACAATCGCATTGTATAGAAGCAGTTTGATTGTCCATTTAGAAAAGTTTTAGGTTTTTTAACCTTTAATCAAATGCAAAAATAAATTCTTTCTATGCAGATTAAACATTTAAGTATTTTAAATTCTTATTACATGTTATTATTTTGTGCCCAGGGATGGGATGCACGCATGGCATAGCACAAATGTGGACATCAGAACAGCATACAGCAGTCATTCCCTTCCATCATAGCGGGGCCAGGGATCAAACTCAGATCAGTTGGCTTGGAGGGAGGTACCTTTACCCTAAACTGAGCCATCCTACCAGCCCCATTGAAGTATTTTAAAGGTATTTATCACTAGAAGAAAAAATAAAACATTTTTATAGTGTGTTGGGAGGAAAAGACCATGCTTAGGATACCAGTGCCAATAAAACAACGAAAAAAGGAAGTGATTGACAAGTTTAAGTAAATTTGGCATAAAAACATGATACATCAAAGCTGTCTGTGAAATGTCCTAGTAACAAAATATATTTATTTTGAAATAACCAAGTGCTGAAATGATGTTTGGCCTATTATATAGTCCTCACATTTTCTAACATTGAAGAGCAAACTGGATAAAACCTTTACTTCAAAGAATAAAATTCTCAGGATCTCATTCAGAAAGAATTACAAATAGTAGAAAAGAAAACAAATTAAAAATATATAGAGAGCATATACATTTAATACATTGGAAAATGATGGACCACAAAATATTTTAATACAGTAGCTTAAAAGAAAAATGAAATATTTCAACCCAAAGGAGTGACTTAAAACTTTAATGTAAATTGATACATTATTTCTAGAGGGTAAACAGCCAGACATTATGTTTCAAAAAAGTTTTAATCTCTTCTGTCAAGAAAGTCCAAGAAATTATCTTGTAGATGTAATTGATAGTACTTGAATTAAAATTTTAAAATAACGAAAATTTGGAGCTACCCTCATCTGGGCATGGAGGCTACATAGGGTAAAGGGCTTTCTTAACTGGATTAAGTGTATGCCTTGGCTTTAACTCTTAATTTATTCTAAGGGTATCTGCTTTTACCTCATAGAAATTTCAGAAGTTGCTGTTCCATTATGGCACCCTTATCTGTTTTCTAATACTTCTGTTTCAACATCTTGAAACCAAAATACTGCCATTGAGTTTGAACACTGGTTCATCAAACAGATTACATATTCCAGGAGCCCATTTATGTGAATATGTACATATTGATATATGTATGTGTATAATATGGATGTATATTTATCTGTGTACTATAACACTGTAGCCTTATCAGTACTTTTGATAGTTCTTCATGCTTATACATTAAATTACACCTCTCTCAAAATACTCTGAGCCTGGCATGGTAGCACATAGCTTTAGTCCTAGCACTCAGCAGACAGAGGCAGTTAGATACTGTAAAATCAAGGCCAGCCTGGTCTACATATCAAGTTCCAGGCCTGCTGGTACTACAAGGAGACCCTGTCCAAAAAAAACCAAAAAATAAAAATAAAAAAATAAAAAAAAATAATTGAAAGTCAAATAGCTGTTGAATAAGATATGAGAATAAACAAGATTGTGCATTTTGGATTGAATTACTTATAAAATTAATGTAATCAGAAAAAATTCAGTAAAAATAATTCCATTTTGGTAAGATATACTTGAAGGTGGGAACCGAAAGAGATATGTGGTCCTGATTTTTTTTTTTTTTTAGCTTTAAGTGGATGGATTGGGGGGGTGTTTTGTTTTTGTTTTTGAGATAGGGAATTTCTATAGCCCACGCTAGCCTAAAACTCATTATGTAGACCTGCCTCTGCCTCCCAAGTGCTGGATTAAAGGTATGCAACACCATGCCCAGCTTGTATTTTTCTTTTTAATGACAAAGGGAACATTTGTCTCTCTTTTTTTTTTTTTTATGAATCAACGCCTTGCAAGTTGTACATTTACAACAATGTAATAACAGAGTCAAATTTTAGAGTATTGCTAAGTGAATCTACAAGTTTTGCTCTCCAAACTCAGTAACCCAAATCTGTCCTTCTTTGTCTAGCTTGTTGATCCTGGATGAGGTTTCCATGGCATCCTTTTCTACTGAAAGATCATCAAGTAATAGCCAAGGAAAAGCAACGCCTTGCAAGTTGTACATTTACAACAATGTAATAACAGAGTCAAATTTTAGAGTATTGCTAAGTGAATCTACAAGTTTTGCTCTCCAAACTCAGTAACCCAAATCTGTCCTTCTTTGTCTAGCTTGTTGATCCTGGATGAGGTTTCCATGGCATCCTTTTCTACTGAAAGATCATCAAGTAATAGCCAAGGAAAAGCATGGACTCCTCTGCATGATACTGATTTATATACTTGTGTCTTGCAGGCTTATTTCCACCTGGGTATCAATGAAAAGTTAGGACTGTCTGGGAGGCCAGATAGACCCATTGGCTGCCTTGGGACATCAAAGGTGATCCTGACTTCTCCACGCAGTAGCATTTGCATTAGTTGTTCTAAATTCTGAGGTCATGCCTGACTTTCTGGCCATCCTTTCTCATATCCATTATGTACTTGGAACCAGTTGTCTGCTTTATTATTTTCTGCAGTAAATCTTATTTATTTTGTGTGTGTCACTAATGCTTTCTGAAAATAAATGATCACCTCTCTGCTATGTTACTTCTAAGCTTCATAAAAGCCCTTATGTATAGTAATATTCAAGCATAGGATTTTTCCATCTTATTAAAAACGGTCTATTTTGCTAGCATAATGATTCAAACAAAAAACTTTAATATTGTATGGATTTTAAGCTGTTTATTTATTTGCCTATTTAGAAATAAGCATCAGTGTTTACTTTTAGTTGAGATTTAGAATATTTAAGATACTTTGCCTTCCATCTTCTCTTACAGATTTACCGCATTCTAGGGAAGACTGTAGTTTGTTATCCAATCATCTTTGACCTAAGTGATTTCTACATGTCTCAAGATGTTTTACTGCTGATAGATGACATAAAGGTATTGATATTTACAGTTATTCAGAGAATCTTTCAGTTGGAAAGAGATGACTTTGTTCACACCGATTTGTGTCAGATGTTAAATCAAGAATTGCTAGTAAAACATGAAAGTAAAACAGCATCTTTGCAGAGCTTGGAGTAAAATCAAAGATACATTTTTTCTTCCATGAAGTTGGAAGTTGTGTGATGTTGCTCATTACACCTTTCTAGAAATGGAGTGAATACAGTTTAAGACTATGCTCATATGATACTAATGGTTTATCTCTTTCTGATCAAAACTTGAATTAGCAGAATAATTTATGAAAAAATATCCCATAAAAGTTTTACTAACTCATAATTCTGAATTAGAATTTCCCCCACTCCACATTCTGTGTGTGCAGTAAAGAAGCTTAGAACATGGCCATAAAATCTAGAGTCAGCCAGGTTGTGTCTATTAAAATCTTACCTCTTATTTGCCAGCTGTGTGTTCATGGGCAAGTTATTTATGTACCTCTGTTTTTTTTTTTTCATCTATAAAACTAGATAGTAAAGGGACTCTTTTGAAGAGTAAATGAATTATATGTAAAATATTCAAAAAGCTTGGCACTGGCACATGGTAAAATGTTACGTGATTGTGATGATGATAGATATGTAGATAGATGGAAAATATTTAATCGAATAAAGATCTCTCGTCACATTACTGATGGCTTACACAAATCCAGTTCAGTCTCCTTTACCTGCTGTAATATTAATCCATAGTAATATAGTATAACATTGGGATAACTTTTTCTTTATCCTTTTTTTTTTTTTTTTTTTTGGTTTTTTTGGAAAAGAGTTTTCCTGTCGCCCCAGCTTTCCTGGAACTCACCATGTAGACCAGGCTGGCCTTGAACTCACAGAGATCCACCTGCCTCTGCCTCCCAAGTGCTGGGATTAAAGGCGTGTGCCACCATGCCCTGCTCTTTATCCATTTTTGAGCTATATTTTTTTTAGGGAGAGAAAGAGAGAGGTAGGGAAAGAAAGACACATAAGTAAGTCATCCTTAAAACATAGGTAGTCTGATTATTTTTAAGAGCAAATTTTAAAATGAAAATGTTTCTGTGCTTTTAAGTAGCCAAAATTATCAAGGGCTTTATTTCTAAGTGTTTTGCTAGCTAGCTCTTTGCTTCACATAATTAAGGATCCCAGTCATCTCAGATTCTGTCCTTGACATCCTACTTTAATCTTGCTTTTGACAGAATGCACTACAGTTCATTAAACAGTATTGGAAAATGCATGGACGCCCACTTTTCCTTGTTCTCATCCGGGAAGACAACATAAGGTGAGCTGATGGGAAATAAGCTGCACGGCTGAGGCTGAAGAGACTGGCCGGCTGTTAAGAGTATGTATTGCTCTTGCCGAAGATCCAATGTTAGGCATCTCACAAGCACCAGTAACTCCAGCTTCAGCGGATCTGATGCCCTCCTCTGGCCTCTGCAGGCACCTGCGTTTATGAGTACATACCCACACAAAGACACACACATAATTAAAAATAAAATAAATATTAAAAAAAAACTGTACTTGTCTCATTGCTATTTACACTGAACCTTAGGAAGCAGAGCCTCCTGATATTTTGTGTGTTTCTTTTAGCATGTAGAAGACTGTTTTTAATACTTAGCAAATAGTATTAGATTGTTAGTTTCCCATTCTACTGTTAATAAACTCATTTTGTTTTTCTGTTTTATTTCTAGAGGTAGCCGGTTCAATCCCATATTAGACATGCTGGCAGCCTTTAAAAAAGGAATAATTGGAGGAGTCAAAGTTCATGTTGATCGTCTGCAGGTAGTCTTCTGAGTTTCAGTATGTTTCTGTTTTCAGGCCAATCTGCAGTGCAGCTGTGTTTCTTAATATATGTTCTGTCGTCAAAGTTTTGTTCTGTGCATATCTTCCTGTTGTTGCCATCTCAGTTTCTCCAGTTGAACCAGTCAGGTGCTTGAACAGAAAACAGTATTTTAGACTTTATTAGAACAACTCTAATTCTCTTATTGTATTTGGAGAATCGTGTCCATAGGTGGAGACGTGACCTGCTTATAATCTGCTTTCACAGGCACGCTGGTTGTCTCTTGGTCCCATGCTATTTTGCTTACTCAACTATAGCATCCAACCAGGAGAAATCTTTGTTCCATTCAAGTATCACATATTACCTATTTAACTCCTCAAAGCATTCTTTGGTTCCCAGCCAGGCACAAGCTTCTGTCCGCAATTATCTCCTATTAGCACTTTGTTCTTCAACCAATACAAATTAAGTGCTGTGTTCTGAACTCCCAGGCATTCTGCCCCTCCGCTCAAGCCATTTCCTCTACCTGGAATATTCTCTGTCTTTCCAGATTTATGGGTTTTAAAATTTTTTTAAATTCTAAAGACCAATTCTATAAATTGACCCAGACTATAAATAACAAGTTTCTTCTTTGCCATCCTTTTATGACCTTTAACTTAAACTACACAACGTGTAGTCTATGTCAATGATATGTTTACATACCCATTCACTAATGGTCACATTTTCTATATATGATTGATTTTTACTTAAAAGATACTGCTTTATCTTTTTGTAATGCTTCCTGTGAATTTTTTTTTATCTTGCAGTTCTCTTGAGTTGTACATTTAAGCCATCATGTTTTAATTTTCTTTTTTCATTGTAGCCTGTCCTTGTTTCATAGATGTTATATTTTGTGGAGATTTTTTTAAAGACTATTAACTAGAATTTTTTAATTCCTTCAGTTCTACAGTAACTCTCACACATTTATTTTCTTGGTCTTTCATGTTCAAGATATTTGTTAAATGTCTGGTAGTCTTTTGCTTCCCATTCATTTTTAAGAGTGAAAGTGCAAAAACTTTACAGGAAACCTTGTTTAGGGAGATATTCGGGTCTTAAAGAATCCCTATATAAGGGCTGGAGAGATGGCTCAGTGGTTAAGAACACTAGTTGTTTTTGCAGAAGACCTGGGTTCAAATCCCAGCACCCACATGGCAGCTAGCAATCATTCGTACTCCAGTCCCAGGGGATCCAACAGCCTCTTCTGACCTCCATGGGCATTGCACAACATGGGTGCACTTACCTATATGCAGGCAATACATACATACACATAAAATAAAAATAATAAATAAAATTG